AAAAAAAATATGAGTGAGCGTTTTTCAGGCGAACCGCGGAATGTACGACACAATGAATGGCGGTTCCGCAAATAAATTATAATCCGGCTTAAAAGACAATAACCAATTAAAAGCAATAAAAGTTGGCAAAACAACAGCGCCAGAACATTAAAGGTGACTAAATAAGCGTACGAAATGGAATAATCAAATGAGATTGAGACTTAATTAAATCTGACAGATTTTTAATTTTACCCGCCATTCATTAATCGCTTCGTGATTCTTTTGTTTTCTTTTTTATTTGTGTTATTCTGCGCCTCCTCTACCTGCAATTACTTTGGCACCAAAAAGTAATGACAAGTAAATAAACAATTTCAATGAGCAACAACAACTCATATCTACCTACATGCCACAGATGCATACACATACATATACATACATATAATTTCATCTCAGCTGTGTGTATGCGTGTAAACTTACCGTTTGAAGGCGGCAAAAGAATTCAGTCACCACCCAGTCATAGCAATCACCAACCATTTGACAGACGCAATCAGTCACTGATGCCAGTCAAGTGGTTGGATAGACATGCACATATGTATATATGTATATAGRTATATATAAATGTATTTTGTATATTTAGGTATGTATGTATTTATGTATATTTGTTGGCATGTATGTATGTCTGCAATCGCTGGTAGGTAGAGAGGTGGGCAAGCATGCTGCGATGATGGAGTAGTTGAAAGCTTGTTTTGTTGTTGTTGTCTTTGTGTTGACGCAAAAAGTTCAAATGGCAATTGAAATGTTAAATTAATAACTAAAATACAGCAATAAATGTTGAGGTGTGAATTTTGGTGAGCAAGAGGAAAAAAAGTTAATAAATACTTGAAATMTCATATACATAGCTACATATAGTTTATATTTATATATACATATATATATTGGGTAGTCGACAAAGTTTTTTCGTATTTCTAATCAAACTTCAACTTATTATTTTTTTTAATATTTATAATGAAACAAATATGTACCATTTTGGTCGACCACTTTTTGAGACATTATTCCCTCAGTTTAAAACTTTTCTGGTTTTTCGGCGAAAAACTGTGATAAGTAATTCTCACTGGCTTTTTTTGAAGCCAACTTGCCTCCACTAAGGGAGTTCTGCATTGACCGAATTAAATAGTAGTCCGATGGCGCAAGGTCAATGTTACATATATGGCAAATGCATCAAAACTCGCCCGGTTTTTGTCGAGCCATCAAAGATGTGTGTGGTCTTGCGTAGTCCTGATGGAAGACGATGCCTTTACTGTTGATCAGATCTCGCCTTGTTTTTTTTTTGGTTGCTTGCTTCAATCTCACCAGTTGTTATCAGTAAAATGTAAAATGAATCGTTCGACCGGGCTGGATCAGCTCATAGTAGAYGATTCCTTTCCAATCCCACAAAACACTCAGCATAACCTTTCGAAGCGTAAATCCTTCACCACGCTTGGACTATAATCTTTTTTGCTTATTATTGTCGTATTTGATCCGATTTTTCGSCTCCTGTTACCATTCGCTTCAGAAATAGTTCGATTTCATTTCGTTCCAGCAAAGAGTCGCGATGTTAATTCGGTTCAATAAATTTTTCATAGACAATTCATAGACATCGARCTTCTTTTTATAGCCAGCCTTTTTTAAATGGTTYAAAACCGTTTGAATGCTAAGCTCCTTAGCGATCCTGGTCAATCTTTTCCATAATTTCATCGACTTTTTCAACGATAAGTTGACCAGAGCGAGGTGCATTTTTCACATCGAAGTTTCCAGAATAAAAGCGGGCGAACCATTGTTGCGCTACAAGAACTAATACARCATCGTCTATGTAAACTTCAAAATATCATTGGTGGCTTGCGGAATTCTTCTCTTTTATAGAAAAATTTCAAAATATATCGAACTTCTTCATTATTTTCACTAATTTTTGAATACCTGTAACTTTTTTTAAATTTTTGCGAATTTAATTTTTTTCCTGTTTAAAWAAAGCATAAAATCTCACCTTTCCAAAACTATATCGTATGACGCAATGTGATGTGGACTGGAGATATACCACTGCAACCACATCTCTTGACAAAATACGAAACGAATTTTTCAACTACTCTGTATTATATATTAAAATTAATTGGAAAATAAAAAATAAACAGGTGGCAAYACTTCACAATTTTTTTTATCAAACTAATAGGATTAAAAAATGCTTACTAAGATTCTTTAAGCATTTCCAGGTTAAAGAAATTAATTAGATTGATTTAATATAACAATATTAACATAATTGTAAGAATTTTTTGTTGTACTTAGGAATATTTCAAATCCCATGAGCTGGTTATGTAAAAATTTAATTCGTATAATAAAACTTGTGTGTTATTAGTTGCTCTTTTTGTACTCTTTACCACTGTGGACTCTCTTCCAGGCTTTACAGAGATTAAACAGGTATCAGTGCTCTTTTGAACAGTGAACTAAGAGTTTAGTTGAATGTGCCTATTAGTCTATGGTTGCTTTTTACCATATTTTTAGTCCCGTCATAAGTTATGTTTCAAATTCGGGGTGCTATAAAATCGAAACTATATTCCATTTTTCAAATAAAGTTTTTTTTTTAGTTTTTTGAAACTCTCCCAATTTCTGAGAAATATTCGACAGACCATTTTATCCAAATTTGAACGTTCAGACGGCCATTCATTTGCAGCTATGAAGCCTTTTAATTTGTATAGCTTTCGACTTATGTGCTAAAGCAGAATCTTGCTGGATAATCCAATGCTCTCCATCGCAGGGAGTATTGCTTAAATGCTTTACCAGACCTCCGAAAACATCCTGCTGATACACTTTTGTCCCAGTTTTAACCTTTTTTTTCGCAGAAGTGAAGACTTTTAACTACTTCGCAGGAGACTTTCCACCAAACCAATCAGCTGGAAGGTTGCCAGCCCTTGATTTTTTGRAATACAATTTTTGCGTCTTTTGAACTTTTTACGTAGATTTAGTCGTTTTCTTATTAAAATTTCTTCAACAGCATTTAAAAATTTGGTTCTGGAGAAAGGATACTACTTTTATGGCCGAGGCTTTTATGCGCATATCATCTTAATACCTACTAATAAACACGTATAAGGAAATTACGTCCGAAGTATGTTTGAACTTATTCGAACCAAAATGTAATTGAGAAAGGTATCTGGTACTGTTATTAATCTATCTCTTAATTYAGTGATCTGTCGACCTTTTCAACATACCATATACATATGTATGTATATATTCTTCAAGAGAAATAAGGAATAACCGAATGGATACCTAYGACGTAAGCTTTTTAGTTAGACAGGAGCTTAACAATTACTTATTGTTATAGATTTCTACAGTTCGATCTCSTGTAGTAAARCCACTATTACACAAGTAGAATGATRTGAGCTAATTTCAATTAAAATATCGTGAATGGAGGTATAGATTTCACAGCACTGACTCATTCTTTAATAAGTTTACTCTTCTCCATTTGATTGACAATCCATCAAATCATTGACACTCATCAAWGGGCAAGCAGAAAAAAGGAAATATTTTGAGAACTCCATGCACCCGACACTTGCCGATTACTTCAAGGGCGGTTGGGCAACGAAAAATTGTGTGACCGTGTGTGTGTGTCTTCGTGTAATCTCAAGCAACTTTTTTCCTTTGCCACACTTAATCACTGCACAAACATTCCATCAACACCAACACACTACGGCGTTGTTGYAAGCATTATTGGTTGTTGTTGTATGGTTGACGCCAGCTTAGTGTTGTTATCGGCTGGCAATGCAATGCGTTTCCGTCTTTACTCCACTTTTCAATTTGTTTTTGTTTTGTTTTTCAGCGTCCGCCTTTTGTTGGTGTTATGGGTTTTGTTGTACTCTGCTCCCGGTTGAACTTCCAAGAGATCAACTGCTGATGCGCGTCGCTGATGCCACCGCAAGCCGRCCGATGGTGCTGTCAAAATCGGATTGTATGCTTTTGCTGCTTGGCTTTGTTGTTAACAAAGCAATTGTTGTTGTTGTTATTATTATTTTATTTGATTGTGTTATGKTCGTGTCGACTTGACATTGATGACTGCCCCAACAACTGACAACTGCAGTGCAACATTGATACTCTCATATTCTCGCCATGACTGCGTGTTAGTGTGTGTGTTTGTATGTGTGTGGTAAACCGCATTTGACATGTTCAGCCCCGAGACAGACATTATTTTGGACAATTGTGAGGGATGCTGGTGCTTGTGAGGTTATATATTGTTGTTTTTGCTTGTTTARTTGTGTCTTATGTTGCAAGGCAGAATTAACAACTGTAAATTTTATGCTTCAGAATTTGATGTTTTTAAAAACTTTTTTTTGAATTTTGTTTTTTCTTTTCTTTGTTTGATTCAGRTTCAATTTTACACCCCTCARYTGGTTTTATTAGAATGACAGATTTGTAKTTTTATTTGTTGTGGAAGAATTTTATCGCATTATTGATCGTTTCTCCCAAATGTCTAAAGGTTAGGTTAGATGGCTGATTAAAGATCCCACGTCAACTGTTATATGTAGTCCTTGGCGATCTCATAGAAAAGAGGAATTCCTGTAGTGGCCAATACAAATTTGCACATTCCCGCCAGCCGGTGCGATATCTGAAGGTACGCGTTGCCAAGTGTTTAATTCTTGAACTTCCTAACGCGGAACAGCCAAGAAGGAAGTCATCCTCTTCCATACGGCTTCTGCAAATGGCATATGGTAGGATTCCCAACCTTACAGCATGGATGCCAATAGATCAATGACCTGTTAAAAGAACCATAACTAGTTAGAGGCTACCCTTACTGAAGGCAAGGATATTACTACATCTCCTACAATCGATCTTGCGCCAAAAGACTTTTGCGACAGCGCATGTACCGATGGTGGACAAGCACTAGTCAAGCCCAGTTATCTAGGGAACACACATGGATAGGGAGCACTGATCAGCTACTATTCTATCGAGGTTCTAGGTTACCTTTCCTTGTTAGCTTATCAAATTTGCAATTTCCTCAGATKCCACTATGGCSCGGCACCCATACCAGTCTTATCACAAAGGTACTCGATATTATTGATAACGAAGTTTGGCACTCCTCGAACAAACGTGAACGCACTGTTAATGAGCTCGAGGCTAGTTTTGTTGCTCTACTATCTGAGTGGAAAGTAGACTTCTCTGAAGGAGAATGCACACCGGAGAAAGATCTAGTGCTACATTGATGGCTGTAACCTCGACTTGGAAGACACTGCAATAGTCGGCAAGTCTGAAGTAGGAGTTGATCGAGAGCTCCTGACAGCTTCGAATAACTCTTATTCTCTGATTTAATATATTCATTATTTCATAAAATTAATAATGAATATGTAATAAAAACTCATTATAGATTAACTTTTATGACAGCCTGAGCTTGTAACATAACTTATGGCAAGTTTAATCATATCAAAGACCAATTATCTTCTAAACGTACAGGTACAATAAAATATCTATAAAWTAGTTACAACTAAATATTTAATTTTAAACCAATTATTTTATTATTATTCTTCATCTAATTTAAGCCGCTTSGCTTTATACTTTTTCGATATCTTTCGACTAATGTCTACTGCACTCGAATCCTCTTCATCACTTTCTTCSATATCGAAATTTAGCCGCTTACGTTTCACTCTTCTGTTGTGTGCCAGTGGCGACCCTACGTAGGGTATCAAAATTAGGGGTAATCGCTTTTCATTCTGTGTTTCGATCGTCACTGGCGATTTAATATTCGTTGATTCTTTTAAACATTTTGGGGATACCTGGTCGTGGGTCTCCTCGTCAGTGTCTACATCTGATTCTTTTGGTGTTTCCTCGACGCAATTCTCCTCTTCAGTGTCCTCAATCGATTTCCGGTAAATAATCTCGCCCATCTTCTGCTTGAAGAATGCCTCGAATTCGTTAAATAATGCTTTACATTTGTGAATGGCTGCCATATTAATTATTTTCAATAGAATTTTAAAAATTTATTTCGAATATTAATTTATTAAAGCCAGAAGCTTTTTAATTTTTTAGGCGCGTTGTACTTTCCCTGCTTACAGACGGAGACTAAGTTCCGTGATAGTGGCACATGCCTTTTATACCCATGCTTTTAATAGTATAAGTACCCAAATACCTGCATCTACCTACCTGCCTAACCTCTATATCCTTATGTAGAAAAGGTGCTCTTTAAAGTACAGGCAGGGGATCGTACATGACTTCTGAGATAATAGTTATTAGCTTACCTACTTACGTAATTAGTCTGGTRTTACCTGGAGTATCAAGCTTTTGGGTCTTTTATTTGTAATTTTATTCGGCTTTTTAGGGGATATTCGGGACGAAAAGATCTAGAAGATTTTGAAAGCAATAAAACTAAATGATTATACGCACAGAGGTGAGCCAAAGTCATATGGAGCAGTTTTGTCACATCWGAAATTATTCAGTAGTGAAGGGAAACTCTTTGTTCTAAATATCGGCTAAAGAAGTAAGCTTACTTTGATGGCGAGATTTTAACCGGCTAGAGTATCTGCTAAATCRTCTTGGCTCATCAACTAGAATATGTTTTGCGAAATATTTGTGTAAAGTATAATATTCCATAACAACAAAACAACCTGCGGTAATGTATAAAGCGAAAAAAATTCCGGGTCTCTGTAAAAACTGCATTCGAGTGTGTTTGAATCTTTAGAAGTGGTCCTAGGCTTGCTGGCTTTCACGCCATACATATGTACCTCTATATATTACCTCTAGGTAATGCCCAATGGAAGTTTGTTATTTCGTCGCGCAGGACGTCAGCGTAGTTTAGTAAAGACTTGATATGGACTTCTGATACTTCCTCCAGTCGCTCGAACTATAAAGCTTCTATATATCCAAGCCGAGTTCTAGATGAGACCGGACATTAGCAGAGGAAGTATTCCAGCGTCYATCTCAGGTCTACTACTCTGCAATTTCTACATGTGCGCTTGTTAATAATAATGTCCATATTGTTAGCATGTGGGGACAGTGGGAACATAACGGTTGCGGTTGTAAAATTTGTGTCTYACTATGAGACCCTTTGGATTAATAATAATTTAATAAAAATTAATTTTATATTTAATAAAATAGAAGCATCTGTAACAGTGAGACAAGTTAGCTTCAAAGACGAGAAAGGTTGTAATCTCTCTCCTTAGGACATATATTTATTATTAGAGCGTGTATAACTCGAAGTTGTAAAAGTATAGCTAATTGTCGGTATAGAGAAATAGGAATTAGATGACTTTTTACTCCGACTCCTTAAGTGGATAGTTCTCTATAGACGGTCTCTTTGTATGACAGCTTCCGATAAATGAGTAGCTGATGAAGAAAATATAGCAGCCGAAGCTGAGAGTGTACATAAAGAAGCTGAGAGTGTACATAAAGACCGTGGATAGTCGATTCGCGCCATGATAACCAACTATTGATGCCTGAAATTGAAGCTCGTGATTTCAGCGAGATTTCTTTTCAACAAGATGGCGATACTTCCCACTCCACACTTATTCAGAGAACACTTCGGTTTGCAGATAATTTCACGTTTTGGGCCGGTCTATTGGCCATCAAGATCATATGATATCAGATCGTTAGACATTTTTGTATGGGGTTATGTAAAGTCTAAAGTCTTTGTGGACAATCCCGTTTCGATTCAAAACATTACGCGTGTCATTCGTTAGTTACCGGTCGAGACATCAAAAATTGAACTCAAGGGATGCACCATCTGAGACATAGCCACTGCGGACATTTGAAAGAGATAATTTTAAAATAAATACCAAAGAATGTTCTTTCGAATGATAAGTGATGTTTCTGTGTTTTTTTTAAAAAGTAGGCAACCTCGRAAGCGGTCACCATCTATTTTGTAACTCATAAAGACAGTATAGATGGATAAATATTGCAATAAGTATAATTACACGAGTWTACTCGTATAGGGTATTGCAATGGATAGTTTAGCTGTCCGCATTCGGTTATCTTCGTACTCCTACATTGGCGCTTTAAACTTAGGTACTCAAGTGGCGACTGGCTTCATGTTCTTTTGACACTTGAGTGTCGTTTACTCTTTGTTGTTTTTAATTTTTGGTAACCACTTAATGATATCTTTAAACTTGACTGACTATATTTTCGAAAAAAATTTCGAAATACTTTTGAGTTATGTGCGAAGTGCAGATATAATTTAAATCAGCCAAAATTAGTGGGAATTAAATGTGTGTAAGTGGTATCTGTGCCAGAGTTCACACACATACATACATACATACAATTATACATACATATAGATACACGGCGTACATCGCGGTAAATGCAAGCGTCAGCAAGTCCATCTGTCTATTATTGTAAGCGAGTCTTCGCTGCGGTTCTTGATTATCACAATTATTCAAGCAAACGGTCAGTCGTTGACTTGTGTGTCTGTCCGTCCGTCTATTTGTCTATCTCACCATCAGCGCTGTAATGGCTAAATGTACTAACTGTCTAACTGCCCGGCGCACAGCCAGCAGCCAAAGTCTCCTAAGCCGCCTAAGCCGAAGCCCCACATCGCACGCCATAAGCGTTTTGCATTGTTTTCGATCACACGTCGAGTGTTGAGCAAATAAACGCTGCAGCTGAGGTATCAAAACTCGCTGGCGATCAGCTGAAGATGAGTTATGGAAATTTGTTACTTCCGAGAAATAAACAAAAAAAAAAAAAAAATACCATAAATGAAAACAACAAGTCGTAAATTACAAATAAATTACTTACAAGCAGCTTGGCAACAAGTGTTTCTTAAGTGCGAGCTTGTGATTGCATTTGATTTGGACTCTGGGGTGGTCCGTGTGCCAACAAATGAGCTCTGCTTATCTTAATTGATTTGTAAGTTTTCCTTATCTTTGTTTGTTTGATTGGAACATAATTCGGAGATTTATGACGGCAGATGTAGGCTTGCGACTCTATGGCGCGAGTTCAATACTTATTTTGGGGAATTTCGAAAGTGGCACGTTGTTATCAGAACCTTAATGAGGGCTGTTTGTAGAAGTTCTCAACCAATGTTACGACTATCAGTTGTGAGCGGTATGGTTGTGTATGAAATAGTCTTAAAGTAAAGATTAACTTCTTACCCGATATCAACAAGTCGAAGCCGGTTTGGATTTTTCGGAACCGTTAAAATTGTATCTCGCCTGATTTTAGTTCAGGACAAGACAATCATCAACGGCTAGTATATTTGTTGTAGAGAGCTCTTTGTTTTCTTATTAAAACATTGATTTTTAGCTCTCTCTACTTCTCAATATTTACAGAAGATTAGTCTTCGKGCAGGTCCCAAGCCCAGCGCACAACCCTCAGGAGGGATGTCTCGCCTTCTCACTTTAGCTCGCCTTAAAACAGATTTCTTTGGCTAGCCARAGGATACTTGGTTTTAAGGCCGAAAGTCGTGAGCTGCTTGRCSTATATGTAAAAGAATCGTTTATGGACACTCCCAAGTGAACGGTGCTTARATCACTTTCCTTACTTGCATGAACTTCTACACATGACTCCATCCTCCATACTACTTCGGAATGAGTAGGCAATTGAGAAGTAGAGTCCTCTCTCGACGTACAAAGACCATACTCAACAAGTCACTCATTATCCCCGTCCTGCTATATGGAACACAGGCATGGACGATGACAATATCTGATGAGTCGGCGTTTCGAGTTTTCGGTAGAAAGGTTCTGAGGAAGATTTATGGCCCTTTGGTAATTTGCATCGCTGAATACCGCAGTCGATGGAACGATGTGCTGCCGGGGGAAGTAATGGAAGAGGACGACTTCCATTTCGTTGGAATTTCCAAGCTACAATTGGAATCCCCAATTGGCCCCAAACAGCGTAAAAGAAGAACGACTGCGACAAAGCGCATTGTTATAAATTTGTGGAGGCGCCATATATACGTTTCGGCTGTGTTTCCTGGTTCATCCAAAGTACGACTACCGAACTGTTTCAACCTCMGTCTTGCTCAAGCTGAATATTGAAGGAGAATGTGCTCGACTGTTTCAACGTCACCTATTTTCATACAACTTCATCCGAAAATTTTTTTTTAGAAGACTGGACACTGTCCAGTAAGAACTCTTATGATTTCGACAATATAAACTCAGCTAATGCTTCAGTAGATCTTCTTCGTTCTACTCCAGGCTAAAAGGATCTCGCAGTTGTACAGGAGCYGATTTTCGTCCATCGCCAGATAAGTATAAGCAGGAGATATAGATACAGA